AGGGAAGGAGGGCAGAACAAAGTCAGAGGCCTTGATGTCCAATACTCTCTCTACGACTTGAGAGGCCTTCGTAGGTTATGCCCTGATAGGAAAATGTGGACCCAAAAATAGTCTCTTTGTGTTGGCCCCGGACTCATGACTACACCTGTCCAGAGTGCGCGCCTTTTTTTTTTTAAATTTATTTACACAGCGACTCTTCCCCAAGCCTTCATCCTCCTCATAAAAGGTCATTCATTCACTTATGAGTGACTGCGTAAGTAAATAGGATGAAGGACTCTAAACTGACTTATGGATATCTGGCTTAGGTAACTAGGTGGTGATATCTATTATGGGACAGGGGAGCCGGTTTGTAGGGAGAGTGGAAAGAGAGAGATAGTTTGGGCTGGAGCTCAGCTGAAAGTATCATAGAAAAAATATCTTAGTACAAGGAAGAGTTTTCAAATATGGAAAGTCCTCAAGAAATAGAATGAGTTTCAGTGAGAAAAATAACTCTCTGCTTATCCCTGAGGGTGAAAAGAAATCTGGGTGAGTTCATGTGACATTCTCTACTCCAAACTGGTTCTCTTCCAAGAAAATAGCAAAAATTGCATTCTCCTCACAAATCGGCCTACTCACAACTCATGCTGTACCCAAAATATGAGGCAAACTTGTTCTAGTCATTGCTTTGGAGCAGATGAAATCTGAAAAGGGTGAGCAGCGAAGAAATTACTCGATGGGTGTCTGTGGTTGAGCATTAAATATTCTGATGAGCTTTTCTGGAGTAAATCAGGTTCTAGTTATTTTGTTTTCTGATTCATGCAGACATTTGTCATCAGTTTTTTCTTTCCTGAATTTTGGGAAATTTTAACCCACCTCAGATGAATTAAATAATATAAAAATGCAGTCATTTAATGATGTCTGATTCCAAAGCTTAACCACTTATCTAGATCCTCAATCGGTTTTGGAATGACTGAATAAATGAACATAGGAATTAATGAACCTATGGGGCAGACTGAGTAGTAGTATTATTCACATTTAGAAAAAAAGATTAAGTAATCTTCCCAGTATAAACCAGCCTGCTCCCCTACTAGCCTGCACTGTGACTGTGGGTGGTTGCAGCTGAAGAGTTGGCAAGCAGAGTGCTGGCTGAATTTCAGCCCATACATTCCCTCCTGGCTGGGTGCCTTCATGCAGGGCACAACCTGGATACAGTACTTGAATTGTAAAGGCAAGATTTTGTCTCTGGCATTATGTACTTTTCTCTTCCACTAGGAATCATACTGCTTTTACAGTAAAGCACATCTTGTTGTCTCCCATTAAGAAGCAGCAAAAAACTATCAGGATTACCAAGCTAGTTGTGAAAATAACATTTTTCCTGTTTTGAAAATAATAAATTTTGATATAAATTTATGAATAGGTTTAGAACTACAGATGATGGTTGAGAGGAAATTCAAAAGGCTAACAGATGAAAAGGAGAGAGGCTAAAGCAGCAGAAAGGTCAGAAAATGAGAGATATGGAGGATAGGAAGGGGACAGTGGTGCTTAAGAACTATATCCTCTGAGTTCAACACTTTGATGATCCCAACTTTCTCCTTGTTATAAACACTCTATATTCAGCCCTAGCCGGTTTGGTTCAGTGGACAGAGTATGGGCCTGTGGACCAAGGGGTCCTGGGTTTGACCTCCAAAGGCTCCTCCTCAGCCGGGGCCCTGGTTGGGGAATGTGCAGGAGGCAACCAATCAATCTGTTTCCTTCGCATCAATGTTTCTCTCTTTCTCTCTCTTCCATTCTCTCTAAAAATCAATGGAAAGATATCCTCAGGTGAGGACTAAAAAGAAAAAAGAAAAACCGTATATTCATGTATTCATTCATTCATTTCCCTTACCCATTAGACATCCATGATCACATGCCATACTCCAGGCATACTGATAGATGTTATGTATAATGGAATCAATAGCACATGGTCCCAAGCTTCAAAAAACTCAAAGGCCACTAGAGAAAGGGTAGAGACACAGATTGCTTACAATATAATTTGAAAAGTTCTAGGAACAAAGTGTCATAGGAGCCCAGAGGAGACCATGAATAATTTTCCTGGGTGGGTTCAGGGAGGAAATATTTCATTTGGATCCTGAGGGGTGAAGAGAGCTTTTGTGTAGAGAAAGCAGAGGAAGGCAATGAAGGCAAGGAAACAGTGCAAAACTGCAGAACCATGAAGAGGCATGAAATGTTTATTGAATTGGGAGAGATCCAGTGAATAACATGGTTCATGAAGGGTATGATAAAAGCTAAGCCTAGGGAGAGAGGTTGAAACCAGAGGCAAAGTGATTCACATGATTACAACCTAAGGTGGAGAGACACCATTACTCTATACTTAGCAAATACATACTGATTTTAGCACCATCCCCAAACAATCCGATGATGCTCCTCTCTTGAGAGGCCTTTCAAAAATATATATACAAGTTAAGGCTGGAATGGACCTTTACAGCTTCATGGCTTTAAAGTCACAAAGCCCTGAATTCAAATCCTGACTCTACTATTCACTGTGGCATTTGGAGCCAGACATTTCTCCTCTCTGAGCCATGGTTTCTTTAACTTTTACAACAGAATCAATGAAACCTCACAGAACAAAGATGAAGATTGTGAATTGGCCTATAGAGTATCTTGTACATAGGATACATTCAATAAATATTGGCAGTATCTCTTTTCCCCTTCATTTTATCCCCTCTCCTTTCTTCAGCAGGAACATACTTGCCCAAGAATGTTGGTAACAGAACTCGTTTTTGCAGGTCTTTCAAGAGGGGATTTCACAACTGACTCAACATTCAGTCTCTATTAGGAAATTCTTCTAAATCAAGTATTCTAAGACTAGCTAAACTTTTTTATTGTACTGCCCATCAATACAATGAAAAGAATTCCACAGAGCAGGGCAATGCCTACTGTTCTGGAACACTGTGTAGGTCTTCAGTACTTGCTCTCACAGTACTGAACCTTGCAGCGGGTCAGAAGAAATACTGAACCCAGAGGAATGTGATTGTCAGCACACTGTTCCAGGACTTTGGATGACTGCTCAGACTAAGATGAAATTTCAATAGCTTACCTCTCCTTTACACTCTGATCTTTATCAATCAGAATGCTTTGCATTCTAATCTGCTCCCAAACAGCAAGCAGACCATGATTTTTCAGCATGGATCATCAGGAAATACTTTAACCACCTTCTAAATCACTAAATTATTCTCTTCGTGGTTAGGGGAACTAAGTTTCAGAATCATTGAATGTGATAATAAAAAACACCTTTCAAATCATACAGTTGGGCATTTTCCAAGGGGGTTAGAGGAGGTGTGCAGAAGCAGAATGGACAGTCGAGCTTGGACTGCTTTTAGCAGATACAAATCTCTTTTCACATTAGTGAACCTAGGTGAAATAAATCCAAAGAGTTGATATTGCAGATTTCCAATTAACCTTATTCATTATAAAAGCACCTTTTTATAAGTAGGGTATATAGTTCTTGGCTATGTCTAAAGTTGCTCTATGATTTAAAGATGGTGAATTTATCATATTTACCAAAATAATTCAGATCTCACAACACATTAGAAATTGGAGTATAGGAAGAAAATATCTGAATTGCTGCATGCAGAGAAGATAAGTAGTAAGTTCTTATCACTAGAGATATACAAGAAAGATAACTAACATATATTGAGAATTGTCTATCTGCCAACCATATTCTAATTAATTCACTTAATACATATAATTCTTTCATGTTAGAGAAAAGAGAAGTACAACTAGGTCAAGAGACTTGTCCACAACTACACAGCTAGTAGGTGGCAAAGCTAGGATTTATATACAGGAAGGTTGCTCCTGTGTCTACTTAATTAGTACTATGCAACAACATAACTCAGAGTAATGTGTATGGTTTCCATGTATTCAAGTTACAACCTTGTTTATATTTCTTCATTTTTAATCACCCTCATCCCCAAAGCCATAATAGCAGAAAGTCTAGCATCTTCCTCTTAGAAAATCCCCCTCCCTCCAAAACTTTAAATCCCCAAAGGAAGAGGATGTTTCTCACTTCCAAATATAAGCATGATATAGGAACCACTCCTGCTTCTCATAGCCATTTGAAATATTTACTTAGCAAGGGACCTGAGATGGAAAAATATAATTGATCAACTCAATTCTGTGTCTGGCTACCACAAGCCCCTGCAGATACTGCCTCATGTTTTTAGGATCAGTGACAAACTTAGCCAAGAGTGTGCTACTCCAGATAACCCAGAGCTCAAGGGCTATACTCCCACATTTTCTTCCATATTTTTCTTAAACAACCATTATCAACTTTGTGGTTTTTGTTTTTGTTTTTAAATAATTTAATTCAAGAACCCAATTCCTCTGGTCCTTGGGTAAGAACCCAGCAGCAGACTTGGATGGAAGACATGATCTGCATAGCCAGTCTTGATTGCTGCATGCCTTAGCTAGTGTAAGCAACTTCAACCCCAAGCATGTTGTTGGATTTGAAAGATTTATCATGGCCCATAAACTCAAGCCATTATTTCTTCTGGTTCTCAATAATATAGAGGTCTCTTCCAATTCTTGGGGATAATCTGGCTGCATTGGACTTGCCTAATGAATCAGTTCATTCAGTAGGTGGATCTCCAGCTTTCATAGAGTATTTCCAAGGGTAGTTTTGCTTAGTCCACTTGAAGCATCAACCAGGAATTGTAAGCAAATTCTCTACAACAGAGTCTGTGCTGGTTCTCAAGATGGGCACAGGGTGAAGTCAGGAAGGGGACTAATCTGTAGATAAGCATGTCACTTCTAGCCTCTAACAATTCCCTCTGGTCTACAGGATGTTTTCAGAGCCATGCACCTGGATATTGACATTGCACGATTGTACCTTAAGCCACTGCTCATTGGAGAGCTTGCCCCAGGAGAGCCAAGCCAGGAGAGAAACAAAAACGTGAGTGATGTCTCAGGCCTCAAGAGTATGTGGAGGGATGGGGCCAAGGTATATTTCAGGTTCAACTTACCATTTTCTGTGAGCACCCAGCCATCATGCCTGGGTGGACCTGCAGTAGTATGAATAAGTGAATGCCACATATTTCCAAACAATGTTCTCCTCCAACTCAGAACTCTGAAACCTCTGTGAAACAAAGGAATAGAATTTTTGGTCCTGTGCCAAACAGTAATTCCATGTCTCTAAACACCTACTCCATGCCAGGTAATTTATACATATAATTTTTGCCAGTGACTGCTTGTAATTATTAGTTTAATGTCTATGTCTATGCTCTCTGATACACTGTGTTCCATGAGAGAAGAGATTGTGTCTATGTGGCTTATCCCTATGTCCTCAGGACTCATCTGCACAGGATCAGACATATAATAGAAACTACATAAATAGCTGTTGCATCAAAGATGTGACTATATTCTGACTACTGCCCTTTTGAGATTTGGGGGAATTATAGTCCAGGGAAAATGAATTCCTTTCTGAAAGTCCCACAGCTGGTGTGTTGAAATACTGGGACTCCAAGTCACTCTTTTCTGACCTCTATCCATTAGGGATTCCCAAGGAAGGACATCACTCTTTCTTCCTCCAATACTTTGGCTACCTGAACACTGTCTTCCAAAGGACAGGGTCTTTATAAGATTAAAAATCACCAGGATGATTTTACATAAAGCTTAAAGGGATTTCAGCTAATAAACAGCTTGCACTTTATAATTCTTTGGAAATAATTTGTACAAAGTGCTGACCCCATCTATCTCTGTGAGGCAGGTAGAATAAGGATTATATTTCCACTTTAAGAAATGAGGAATCAAACTCACAGAGGTCCAGGGAGAATCTGAGGATATAGAACTGGTTATGTGTAGACCTGAGACAAACACTTCAGCTCACTCAGTGGTTCTCAACCTGTGGGTCGCGACCCCTTTGGGGGTCGAATGACCCTTTCACAGGGGTCGCTTAAATACATCCTGCATATCAGATATTTACATTACGATTCATAACAGTAGCAAAATTACAGTTATGAAGTAGCAACGAAAATAATTTTATGGTTGGGGGTCACCACAACATGAGGAACTGTATTAAAGGGTCGCGGCATTAGGAAGGTTGAGAACCACTGCTTAGATCCATGTGCATCCACAAGGATTTGTGTGTCAAGAAGCATGGCTCTATGTTCAGAAGGGTGGGCTCTGAGGGTAGACAGCTTAGACTCACAACCTAGCCCTGCCATAATTTGTCTAAGTTTAGGCCATTTACCAAAACTCTCTGTAGCTCAGCTTCTCTCTGTGTAAATGGCAACAATAGAACCAACATCATCAGAGTTGTTGGAATATTATGGAAAGAGTTAAAGGCATTTAAATGCTCAGACCAGTGTCTGGAACACAGTAAATGCTCAATAAATTTTAGATGCTATCATTATCGTGAACTTTATATCACTTAGGGCAGGAGGCCCTGAGTTAAAAGAGGAAGATGATGCAAAGCTTTGTTTTTCCCAAAAATATTCTCTAGGGAAAAGAAACTCCCACTAATGGCTAAGAGCTATAAGTGTTCATTTTTTAAAAGAGTGTTGGTCTCTGGAGGTAACGATCTACCATAAATTTTCTTTAGTGCATCTATGTGAAGATACATATGTAAGTACAGATGGATAGAAAACTAAAGAAAATTTAGGGTTACCCCCAGAGATCAACACTCTTTTAGACAATACTTATTGTCTTGTATTTACCCAGATATATATATATATGTAGACAATTAATGTTTAAGCACAAAACTGGGTGTCAGGAAGTGTAAGTTTAAATCCGGCATCTGTCACTGACTTGCTGATGGTTTCAGACCAATCACTCTTCTGGGCTTTGGCAACCCTATCTCTGTAAATAAATAGGTTGGAAAACATGACCAAGCTCTGAGGCACTCTAGAGACAACCTATTAAAATTATCTATGGCCTCCAGATTCCAGGGTTGATGAGGGCCTCATCGATGAGCCCATCCAGACTTTTCCCAGGCAGTAGATCCTTTAAACGTTGCATCAGTGAATTTTTAAATGAAATTGTTTGACTTCTAGAATTATGTTTCTAGCTCTTTTTTATTTCAGATTTCTTCCTTTCTTACATCTGAACATTCCTGCTCTTTCTTATACTCTTGTCACCTTCCCAACAGGCCTGGTTTCAACCCCATAATAGTCATTAAGCTAAGAGATATTTCTGCCCAGTCTTTGAGCTGGCTCTCTAGTATGATGTGACAATGGAGGCTAGCATTGTACATACACACACATGCACATATGCCCGGTGCATGTGCACAGAACCAGGACCTTTCCAGCAAGCAGACACTCTAATGCCACTAGAGATCTGTCTTGTTTCTGGGGCTCTTTTGAGCATCTCACAGTGAATTTATCCATTGAGCTAATCTAAGTGACCTATATCTATTTATCTTCATCATCTTCTATGAACCAGCCCTTTGAACATATAAACAACTGACAGTGTAACAGAATGACAGATCTCAGAGGGAAGGAGAGTGGGAGGGCAGGAAGAGATTAACCAAAGAATTTATATGCATATATGCATAACCTATGGACAGACAACAGTGAAGTGAAGGCCTGAGGTGGGGCAGGGGCCAGGTGGAGGGGACAAAGGGGCAGAAATGGGGGATAACTGTAATACTGTCAACAATAAAAATACTTTTTTAAAACTGTAAAATATCACTTATAAACTGTACCAGTATCTATGGTAACATAGATCCATACAGACAACAAAGTTCTCCAAAGCATAACCAGAAATCAGTCAACACCTGAAATAATACTGATTGTTTCAAAAACAACTGTTAGACTTTTGTATATCTTTTTTTAAAATATATTTTTATTGATTTCAGAGAGGAAGGGTGAGGGAGGGAGAGATAGAAGCATGATGAGAGAGAATCATTGATCGGCTGCCTCCTGCACGCCCCCAACTAGGGATCGAGCCCACCTGTGCCCTGACAGAGAATTGAACCGTGACTTCCTGGTTTATAGGTCAACATTCAACCACTGAGCCATGCTGACCAGGCTGACTTTTATATATCTTTACTGACCACCACCACCCCTAAAAAAAAGACATTAACTCTAAGTTCCATGCAGCTTGAGTACAGTTGACAAACCACTCCTCATCTTTCTCCTTTCTAAAGAAAAAAAAGTTATTATAACATTTTTCAAAGGATTTTTTTTGCTCATTGTTTTTTGTTTTTAATTCTGCCCTATTATATATATTAATACTCATAAATTTCTATTTATAAAATTAAGGTATTAATAACTTAATAAAATATATTAGTAATTATGATCATTTGAGCTTTCTTTCTCCTGAAAGAACTAATTTCCTCCTTGAATATTTCACAGGCCCAGTTGGTGGAAGATTTCCAAGAACTGCGGAGGACATTAGAGGCTATGAACATGTTCAGTGCCAACCTGGGGTTCTTTTCCCTTCACCTCATCCAGATCTTGATTTTGGAAGCGCTGGCTTGGCTAATGCTGTGGCATTTTGGCAATGGCTGGCCAATTACAATATGTATTTCCTTTCTTCTCACAATTTCTCAGGTAAGCAGGTATCCTAAGCCCAGACAATGGCTTTTGGGGGGAGGTTCAGAGTTTCTTCTTCTCTCTTTAGATTGGTGTCAGCTGCTGCTGGATACTTCTTGGCAAACTAATCATTGGTGTCTGACCCAGCAGATTATCAAACCTTGCTGGGCCCAAGTTCTCTTGACTGTAAAATGGGGGGATAACAATTTTTTTATAAAAATCTTCTGAGGAGGACTAATCAAGTTAATGTGAACACCACCTAGCACAATCACTGGCATAATGCAAATATTTAATTTATGACAGTTGCTACTCCTTACCCAATTTTGTCCACAGAAGTTCAGTTTTCAGTCACGTAACATTCATCTTTATTTTTCATTCATTAACCAACCAACATTTATCAATGCATAGACCATGAATTCTTCAAGAGCAGAGAATACATCTTATCTATATATATAAAAGCCTAAGTGACCGACCGACCATTCGACCATCTGACTGGTAGCTATGACATGCACTGACCACCAGGGGGCAGACACTCAACTCAGGAGCTGCCAAGCTGCTGTGACTTGGCAGCTGCAGTTCTTGGGTGACGCACCCAGAACCAGAGAGGAGGGAACCTGATTCTGGGGTGCTCGCCCGAGAACTGCCCTCTCTCAATCCGGGACCCTTTGGGGGATTTTGGAGAGCCAGTTTTGGCTGGATCACCACAGGCCAAGCTGAGGGGCCCCACCGGTGCAGAAATCCATGCACCAGGCCTCTAGTATGAGAATAAGAACATACAGATTCTGCCATAAATGACAACCAACACCTGGCATGTAGACTCGATAAATCTTTGCTGACTAAAGTATGAATGTCTGAACATAGCCTTCTGTGAGCACAACACTGTGTTTTGGACACAAAGGGACATGCACCTGGTCCCTGCCTTGGAAATGAGCCATCCAGTGAGGAAGATTGCCATTGAAGTATCTAAACATATTACATGACACAATGACATTGATGCCAAGGAGAGGGACAGGCATGTGCTGTTGGAGCAGAAAAAGGCATTTAATTCTGAATGGGATAAATGGGGAAGGTTTTATGGGGAATTAATATCAATGTTAATTCCAGAATATTTTATATTAACTTATTTCTTGAAAGCCACATTGCACGATTCCTTGAAAAGCAACTTTAGAAGCAAGAAAAGAAGCAAACTTTGGCCAGGAACTTTACATGTATTTATGTTGCACAACAGCCCAAAGAGTGAAGTGCTATTATCCCTGCTTATCAGATGAAGGATGAGCTTCAGAGCTACTAATAACTTGCTAAGAATCCTGCAGCTCAGAAGTGGTGAAGAACGGTTTAGAACCCACATCTTCCTGACTCCAAAGGCCATGCTCTTTCCACTCCACACCGGAAGATTTTGATGGTGGTGGCAAAGAGAGCATTCTAGGCTGAGGAAACCACCTGCACAAAGGCACAGAGGCAGGACAGAATGTGCTATGTGTGGGAAACAGAAAGTGCATTTGCCTTGAGGTCAGACGAAATCTCCTACTGTTCTTCCCAAAAGGGCTCCTGAATCAACTAGTGGACGCATTTGTTAATTTTTCTTCCCTTCTCAGCTCCTCTAACAACTTTATCTCTTCTAGGCCCAGAGTTCATTTTTGCAGCATGACACAGGTCATCTTTCCATATTTAAGAA